CACTACCTTCCCTAAGGGGCTTGACCCAACAGCACTTCAAGAGCACGGTTAGCAGATGCTGACAATACCAGGCTCTATACACAATGCTGTACTAGCTATTTTCTTTGCAAACCCAGCTGGAGGAAGAGGTGCTTCTGTCCACCGCATAGGCAGACCCTCATGGGCAGTGCTGGGGGTGGGGATTGGGGCTCAGGGATTGCAGTTCTGCGGGGAAGGCTCCCTCTGTCGCACACAGGGAGCCTGAAAGAATTGCCAAGAAGCGTCATGACATGCAGTGAGGAGTTAATCAGTCCAGCAGCTGGTCTGGGTTGGCCTGGCCATGAATTGGGGCCAGGAGAACACAGCGGGTGATGGTGTGTGAATGTGGAGAGAGAGGCAAGGGTAGGGACATGGAAGAAGAAGCCTGGAGCAAGGGTGGGAATATGGTGAACAGAAAATGATTGGGCACATGGGGCCAGGGCTGAACACTTAGCGGGAGTGACAGCAGTTGGGAAGAAGCTGACTCCAGGAGTCTTCTCCCCTCCAGGATCAATTCTATAGAAAATAACATTGTGTAAAAGCTCTTCCTTCCTTCCTGACATACCAGAACTCCCTAGCAGGTGGGTTAATGGCTGCTTTGTAACAGTGTTCACAGATTTTTACTCCACAGATGGAAAAATCCATGCAGATTTAGCATGGTGGCCCACCAACCAGCAAGCCTTTCTGCAGCGAAGCAAAGCCAACAGCAAATGGAAAGGGACAGGTACTAATCTCATTGCCTGGCTGCTGGAGCAGAGCAGCATTCCTCCTTGAGACTGCAACCAAGGAGTCCTCTGCTCTGGAGCCTTGAGTGATGGACGGTTTGTCAGAGCCACCAGCGGAGAAGCCCTTGGCAAAGGAGTGTGTAGAAGAGCCTGTGGAGCAAGGGCTGCTTGGCAGGACTCGCTCCTATGTGTTGTACATTGGAAATTTGAACCCCAAATACTCCCAGGAGATCCTCCGCAGCATGCTGAAGGACATCCTGGGCACAGCCACCATCACCTTGCAAAGGCATGACATTGAGGTGGTGAAGAAACCACGACAGGCCTACGCATTTGTTCAAGTAACAACTGAGATGGACCTTGAGTGCATCCTGAAGCAGCTCCTGGTCACCTCGGAGATGGAGCAGAAGCTGGTGAAGGAGCTTGTGATGAAAGGGAAAACGCTGGTGGTGGGGGATGGCAGGAGAGGCTCAGCTAGTGCAAAGGAGTACAGGGAGGTAGGTGCCACCACAGGGCTGTCAGTCTGTGGGACCAAGAGGGGCAGGTATGAGGGTAGGGGAAAGCAAACAGCCTGAGTGGGCTGACTGGGAAGGGTGGGGCTGGTGCCTAGTAGTCCTTAATACTGCCAGGAAGCAAAGCAGAGGGGGACCTGGCAGCCACAAGTTTCCCCAGTGCAGAGAGCAATCCTCAGTGCCTCCTTCAGAGCTCTTCAATACCCCTTCCCTTTTGGAAATCAGCATTCCACCTCCCAAGTTGCCTCCCCCAAAGCCTGAGCACACCTCAGGGCTTGTCCACCTTGCACAGCCTGAACGTTAGTTGGGCCTGGCAGCATGCTGTCTGGCTTAGCCCTGGAGTGGGGCACAACCTTTCCATCACTGCACCTGTCTGCCCTGTTGGTGAGGTCCCCCTTCATGGGACTGCCACTCTCCTGCTTCTGCTGAGACATACCAAAAGGAAAAGCTGGTCCCTGCATACGGCAGCATGAGCTTTGGGAGTAACACAGACCCACCTCCATCCACCCTGAGGAGGTAACTATTGCCTTTCTCAGGTTACTCCTTGGTGGTTGCCTTCCAAAACGCTTAGGAACTCAGTTATAGATCATTGCCAGCATCCCTTGCACATTCAGCCCCAGGAAGGGTGGGGACGGTGCAGCAAAAGGTGGGCAAACCATTGTATAAATAGCCATAAAAATATTGCCAAAATGCTCACTCTCTCCCCAAGCTGATAGAAAAATCAAGCTAACTGATCCCTTAGAATATGGACTGTGGGGAAGAGACCTGCATTGCTCAGGAAGATGGGACTTGAGAGTCTAACACATGTCCGCTTTTACCTTTACACTCTGGCTCCACTTCTCCCTCCTCCCCACTGAGGTCAGAGGGGAATTTCATACATTTTATGACTAAAAGGGATCAATGTGACCCTCCACTCTGAGCCCACCAGAGAACAATGTCAAGTGGACTCTGAATCCAAGCCACTAACCTGGGGTTGAGATTCAGACCAGGCTTCCCACTCTGCTTTCAGAGCGATTGTGAACATGGCCACCATGGGGTTGAGAGCCATTTCAGTGACTCAAGATCACATGTGCTCTGTTCACAGTAAAAAGATGAGCTCGCTTAATGCAGCACTGCTGGCTCCCTTGGGACCTGATAGCCAAGCTGGGTGGTTTTCTCCTCTGCCATTGCCACCAGTCGTAAAGGCTTCATACTGAAACCTATGGGCTTGTGCAGAAGAAAGAGGTGAGCACAAACTAAACCATTCAGCGGATGACACACGGGAAGTCATCGCTGCCAGTTCCCTCTCATGGGCTGTGCTGGTCCTGCTGGGCTTAACTGGAACCAACTGTGCAGACCCTGATGTTGGCAGTTGTGACACACAGCGGGGACGGGGCCCTTTCTACTCCATCCTTTGCTGCAGCAGGCTTGCTTTTGTGGGGTCCTGTGGGTTATTTCCAACAGAGGGTAATTGAGAACTGTTTAGACACCTGAGTAAAATATTTCTTTCTTACATAGTCCTCTGAAAACAGGACTTGGGCAGTAGAAGATAGTGTTTCTTTGTGACGTTTCAAGCCTCTTTTAGCCAGTAGTTAACCCCAAATCTCCCTCTCTTCGCTTCCTAGCAGATCTTGTAGAGATTCTCCTGTTTCACTGAGGTTTAATCCAGTCCACAATGTAATTGAAATAAGAAAGCCTGCACGTGTCAAAGAATGGCTATTCAGGCTGGGGTCTCTCCTGTGCTGCAGCTGTCTCCTCAAGTGTGTAACATTTAGTATTTCTGGTTTTGCACAGAATGACCCAGAAGTGAACAGCACCAGCCCCTTGCAGTCCCCAAGCCTGCAGTGTGCTGAATCTGACAGGCGCAGGATACAAAGGGCAGAGGAAGACCAGGCCAGCCGCAGCCAGGAGGTTTCCCCTCACACCCGGAAGCAGGCAGAGCGGCCATCAGCATTTCTGAGCGGCACCAGGTCCGACAGCGCCATTGTCCGGAGGGAGATCGTGGGCCAGGAGCGCTTGTTCTATGGAGCATTCATGGGCAGTGAAAGCAGGAACGTGGAGTTCAAGCGGGGCAGTGGGGAGTACCTGAGTGGGACCCTCAAGTACCATGTCCGGAAGTATGCGTGCGCCTTTCTCAACAGCGAAGGAGGCAGCCTGTTTGTTGGGGTGGAGGACAGTGGCTTTGTGCATGGGGTCAGGTGTGGGCATAAGGAGGAAGATCGTGTCCGTTTGCTCGTCGATTCTATTCTGAAAGGGTTCAAGCCACAGGTGTTCCCCGATGCCTACGCTTTGACCTTCATCCCAGTGATCAAAGCTGAAGACACAGGGATCTTCCTGAAGGTGGTCCGGCTCAGCATCCACCCACCCCGACCACAGGGAGAGGTGCTGCTCTATGAAACGGACCAGGGAGAGGTGTACCTGCGCAGGGATGGCAGCATCCAGGGGCCGCTCTCTGGAAGTGCCATTCAGGAGTGGTGTAGGCAGGTAATGGATGGTCAGTGCTGGGCTAGCACAGAAAATGTCTTACTAAAGCCAGGGCAAGCCTGAGTTGTAGCCAGCACTCATACTGGACCCTTCCCTGGAGCCCCACATGTTGAAGGGCTGCTGGGATGAAATTCACCCCTGGGCAGAGGTCAGCACAGGGATGAATTTCACAAGAGATGCAGCAATTCCCAAAGTGAGTAGGACCTCATCCTTCAGCTTAGCCTAGGAGAGATGTTCTCAACTGCCACCCCTTGCTAATCAAATCATAGACACTGGGGGTATGTGGTTAAAGACCCTTCCTCCCCCTGCCAGCTGATACCCAGCTTCTCCATGTCCAGTGATATTTGCCCCTTTCTATTGTCTCTTGCCTTTTGCACAAGAAACATCAAATGAAAGAGCCATCTGGGCACAAGGGTTATTCAAGCTCTTCAGGTGCAGGGTCTGAATCAGTGGCTCTCTCCTGTGCTGTGGCTCTGTGCCACCCCAGCTGGGTTTCCTAAATGTATCCAACATGCAAGGTTCAGGTGTAAGAGTGAAGTGTGCTGCCAATTTTAAATAAGAAAAGAAGTGGGACTCAGGCATCCAAAGTTTGGAAGACACTGGTAACAGTGGATCTGGGGAGGTATACTGATGCAGTTGCACCACTCCCTCCCTCCCTTCCACCCCTTGCTAATCAAATCATAGACACTGGGGGTATGTGGTTAAAGACCCTTCCTCCCCCTGCCAGCTGATACCCAGCTTCTCCATGTCCAGTGATATTTGCCCCTTTCTATTGTCTCTTGCCTTTTGCACAAGAAACATCAAATGAAAGAGCCATCTGGGCACAAGGGTTATTCAAGCTCTTCAGGTGCAGGGTCTGAATCAGTGGCTCTCTCCTGTGCTGTGGCTCTGTGCCACCCCAGCTGGGTTTCCTAAATGTATCCAACATGCAAGGTTCAGGTGTAAGAGTGAAGTGTGCTGCCAATTTTAAATAAGAAAAGAAGTGGGACTCAGGCATCCAAAGTTTGGAAGACACTGGTAACAGTGGATCTGGGGAGGTATACTGATGCAGTTGCACCACTCCCTCCCTCCCTTTGATCCCTGCTCCACACAAACTTTAAAACTAACCACCTGGGAGGGGCAGCAACATTTCTATTCAGGCCATGCTGAGAGTCAACTGACTTCGTGGCTTATCACATCCCTGAATCCTACTAATTTCTCCATTCCACGGGTGTAAGCAAGCCTCTGTTCTTTTAATGGTCTGGATGATTCGCTATTCAGACTATCCTTTCCTCTGAAATTTTGCTGTTAGCCATTCCTGGTAATGTTTCTCATCTATTTCACAGCCCTACAGACTATTTTTAGAGTGTCTCCCTACGCCAGAATATCTGGAAGGAAGATCTTGTACCTGGTATTACAGAAAATGATCCTGATGCTTGGCCCCATTCCCTCTGAGAATCAAGCTAACTGATCCCTTAGCATATGGGCTGTAGGGAAGAGACCTGCATTGCTGGTGGCCAGCACAATATCCCTGATAACACTTTCCCCACACAAGACTTTCTGGTGGTTTATTCCCACTCTGTGCTGTAGCCAATACTCATTCTGTAGCACTTTTCATGATTATTTTCGCCCAAACATTCTGGCTAATTTCTAGTGTGGGCCATTACACCAAGCAGCCAACCACCTGCAACCTGTTCCTGATTACTTAGAAGCATTAAACTCCACCTAAAGAAAGGTAGACTGAACTGCCCTTATTATCCATAGCCTTCCAGTCTTAAGTGCTGCCCTGTTCATTATTGTCTGTTTTTCTCCCATAGCAAATACGAGACAGGGAAAATAAATAGCTCAGAGATGCACTTGGTTGTAATAAAGAGAGAACAGTAGCATGTTAGTTTAAAAGCAAGGCAGAGTGGCAGACTAACCTTGGAGACTAACTTGTTCAGAGACAGCTTTAGTAGCTGACAGCGTGCTTTCTTAGATGCTAAGGGATGCACCATTTCTGCAGCTTTTAACCCAAGCGCAAATCGCTCTCATTTTCTTTTCCTGCTCTCATACTCTTCTTGCCTGTTGTCCTGACATAATCTCTGCCAAACCCATGTCAGGCAAACCACCTGTGACAGTTGCAAATCCCACTAGGTATCCGCTTCCCTAGCTACTGTATGGGAAAGGGACCCAGACATGTGACAGTTTAGCTTCTGTGTTGGTCTCCCAATGAAATAGCTATTGTGCTGTTGACCATCTTTAGAAATGGACAGCGGAAGTCAGGAAGCTGGAGGAGAGGATACAGACGCTGGTGAAGGAGAACGAGAAGCTACAGCAACAAGTCAACCAGGAGCAGAGCGCAAATCCCAACTCTAGATTCTGCACCATGGTGTGATTCAGCAGAGGTACAATGCTGCCAAAGCCAAGTGGGCTCAGGAAGGGAGAAGCAGGTAGGAAAAAGGGGGAGGGGAAACACTTTGCGTATAGATTTTGAAAATTCATTTCACTAAAGAGTGTTAGCTCAGTAACTCAAGAGATAACTCCACTTGGCCATGTATTAGTTGCACACTGTCCTACAATTGATGCTTTATGGTAGAACATTTGTTATCTGAGTTTGACTGAACCTCTAACTAGGCAGGATGGCTGGACCCCCTTGGGAAGCCACTGATAATTCTGAACATTGTATTACATCTCCAGCCAGGTGGCAAGAGAATGTACTTACCTCAAGGAAATGCAGTTCCTCAAGCTGGCCTAGTCAGTTCAGACTCCATTATAGCTAAACAGCCACCTGAGCATGTGCTTTTGGGGCTTTGGCCAGGTGAGGGATGTCAGCAGCATTACAATGGAGCACAGCTGTTCAATTTGGCACCCAATTTGCAGATAGGTCCATGTCCTAAGTCATCCAACATGTGCAAGTTGTTCCCTGCCTTACAATTTCAGCTGCTTCAAAAGCAGGGGAGAACATTTCTTGGGCCCTGGTGGAGTGAGCCTTACTAGCTGGTGGGAGAGGTACCCTGGTAGTAGTATAATGCAAAGCAGTATCTGTCCTGATGGATGGCTATTTTACTGCAAAATCTAAGGCTTCCTTGCATTTCCTTACGGCTTGTACCTCGGCAATCATTTAGATTTGTCCTTGGATGGGTGACTGGGGTTTACCCTGTGGGATGACCCTACCTATGCACTAAACTGTGTTTGTGTTTGATACTTGAGAGTAGATCGCTCAGATGCTAGGTTTCTTTGGCCTGGAGCTGGTGCTCAGACAGTTCATGCTGGAAATGCTAAAAGCCAAGGATGGTTGGTGTTTGAGATCTCAGCACCAAGACATTTTAGATGGGGTTTTTTGCAATGGAACCTGCAGTATTGTGACTGGTCACTGGGGGACTTCAGTTAATACTGTTCTTGACTCAAACATGGAGGATGTCTCTTCTGCAGGATCAGATGCAACTCTCATGTTTTGCTCAAATCCAATACATTTTGAGATCTCAACTCCTGACTTTGAGTGCGAAAGGAAGAGTGGCAGCATATGGGATCCCTAATGAAGATACCCTCTCAGGCCTTGGGGAGGTTGTATCCAGTGTGCTCACTGATAAAAACAAAAACAAAAAAACCCTGTATAAAACCACTGCTTTGAGAACAGGACTTAAACAAGACTTAAAGCCTCTGGGTTTAGTTTCCCATGACAGCTGTTAATGCATGCACGTGCAACATTTTTGCACAGTACAGCAGGGCGTGAGGGGGTCTGTCCCTCCCCACCCCTCACTTTGGGAGATCATTACAAAAAAATGATGGGGCTGTTTTACAAACAACATTTAGGCTGTACCCCCTTGCCACAGATGGTACCAGGGAACTGAGGGTGGGTCATGAAAGCTCTGCCTTTACACCTTTGAGAGGTGTATGGCTCAGCATTTGGAGGATGTGGGGTTCACACAGACACTATTCAGAAACTCCAACCTCACCCATGAAGAACCCATGGCAGAATCCACAGCAACACACACAGACTATTTCACATGTAACTCGCATGTGAAACCCTAAACTTTAGAAGAAATATTTTCAAACTACTTCAATTTGGACACTTGGAAATTGAGTATGCAGAGGTACAGAGTTGGCAGGTGCACTCCTCACACAAACTTGAGACAGTCTTTTTGCCTTGGTTAACAGCAGCAGCTCAGAGTCGCAGGCCAGCCACACTACTGACATCTTAGCATATACATTACTGCTACCGTTTTCAACAAAGATGGGAAGGAAACAAGGCAAATCCCATTTTACCCATACTGAAGTGCAGTAAAATAGCTAGAAAGAAAATACCAGTCTATGCCTCAATAAAAAGGGAAATCCTTATTTAATGTTTTTGCTACATCTTTTATTCCCTGTTGAAAAAACGTGTCCCGCCTCATAAATCCCGTTTCTTGCTGGATTTTATTAATACTGGAGGATGGGACATGTATGGGTACCATACCCATGATAGGTACCATAATGCAGCTCAGAGGGAGGTATTCAGACCCTGTCCCTATTTCCTACCAAGTTCTAGGTTCCTTCCTTATTTCTACCTTTTTACTATCACTGTGGCTTTAAAGGTTTGAAACTCAACATGCTGGAAGAAAGGTGCTAGCACAAAGAAAGACTCATTACTAACAAAAGTAAAAAGAGAGGGAACTAGAGCCAGATGGACAGAGAGAACTTACTAAAAGGAGAATGTGGAGGAGGAGGATGGTGGCAGTGAGAAACTGCTCACCTTGGTATACTGAAGGATAGACAAGCATTGCAGTTTCAGCTAGTTATCTTTACCTTTCCTGTTCCCAAAGCGCATAGACACCTGTGAAGTCAACCAAGTCAGGTACCGAGCAGCAGGTAACACCAATAATCTCATCCAGTGAGCAGTCAGAAATTGTGATGTACATAGTCCTTCCACAGACTCCCACATCTTTCAGAAGCGATGCTGGCAATTCAGTGACTGCACCTACATGAGACGTGCAGTAGTGCCAAACGCTTTGTGTGACACTACTGCGCAGTAGCATCACATCATCAATTTTTCCACGAGACACTACTGCACAGTCAGCATCTTGTGTAGATGTGGCTAATGGGTAGAAACACTTCTCTTTTGGGCCACTAAACACAACCCCAGCCTCAAATTAGGAACGTCAGTGCCAATGCTCATAGACAGAACAAGAATTCAGTGACTTACGATTAAAAGTCCTAAAACCTGATGTTCAGCAGTAGGTGATCTAGATTTTACTTTTGCATAAAACCTCAAGGAAGTGGTTAGCACTGACTACTTTCAAACTCAACAAAAAGGAAAAAACAGCAGTCAGCCACATGGAAATAAGAGTGCATGAGAACAGATGCACAGGGAGCCTGCTACAACAGCAGCTGATTAAAAGAGCTGGAGCACTTACTATAAAAAAATCCAATCCTAATGAAGGAAAGCCCAATGTTCTGTGAATTATGCTCAAGCTATAGCCCTAGTGACACCTGCAGAAACTCTCACTGACTTCCTTGTGATTGGAGTTTGATTTTCAATTCAGAAAGCATGCAACAGGAAGGCAAGCTAGTCGGAAGTCATCTTATCAGCTACTAGCCACACAAAATGTAAGAGGTGACTATGATGGGCAGAGGCAGGCTGAATCAAAACAAACAGCAGAGAGGTGCAGAGGGAAGGAAAACAGAAGACAGAAAAGTGGTTCCTGTTCTACAATTGTTTCCATCAATGACAAAAATGAGACACCTGATTACAAAAGCTGTTTGGCAGTGTCAGTAGGGTTGCACCAGGGATATTTTAGTACTATATACAAACAGCATACCAAAAAAAGATGATCACCCCAATGGACAGCACATTTGAAGCAGCGGGCAGAGAGCTGCATTTAGATTATACAACACACTTTACTTTAGTCTGTTTCCTGGAATCCAAGAGAAACTCAGTAGCCTCTTTGCAATTTTTATTACTATTTTACAAATTTTGATTAAATTAGTTATAAACTTCCAGCCAAAATAATAGAAAATATTCTTAGAAAAGAAAATAAAGCCATGGCAAAAGATACAGAAAACCCTCACTATTCACGGGTTTGGCATTCGCAGTTTCAGATATTCACAAATGCTGAACCTGCATTTTAAATACACTTTATACATTTACAGGAACTCTGCGGGAGCCCCGCGCTTGCTGCCGCCGGGCTCCTACCACTGGAGCCGTGCCTGCCCCCACAGCTGCCGGGGGCACTGCGTTCATGAACACAGTGCCTTATTCATGGATTTCACCATTCGTGGGGGATACGAGAACGTATCCCCTGCGAATGGCAAGGGTTACAAGTACTATGTGAGGCCACATTGTTAAAGAATTAGCCAATTTATGGCATGTGTATTTCAATATACAGAACATATAAACTGAATTAATATTTATTATAGGACTGTTATAATGGCACATACATATCACTCAAGAAATTCTTACCAAGATTCTTGTCAAGAATAACAGCTTTAAACTTTTAAAGAAATCTATGTTGTATTTAAGAATAAAGCGTGGAGGGCTGTAATGAGGGCACGGTTTTAAGTGAGATTTCACATTATTAGAACATGAGTTTGGGAGTCAAACTGTGCAAGGGTTACTACTAAACTGTTTGAGACATACAGCTTACCCCACACTTTACTGAACTGAAGAGTACTCAATCTGACACTAAACAAAGAAAATTTCTTTCTTCTAGTTACTGAAGACCAACTTTGTTGCTTACACTGTGACAAAAAGCTGGAAAAGGGCATCACATCACATTTCCCATCAAACCATTTCCATTATCTCATCCCCACCTTTGTGCAATTTTGAGCATAACATCATTGGGCAGTGCACATCTAAAGATTAAATCAAATGATGTTGCAAGCAAGTTGCTACACCCATCCTTTAGGAAAACAGCACTTTGTGTGACATTCTTAGTGCAGGAACACACACATTCCTGCAGTACAAAGAAAAGGAAAGGAAAGACCTATCTTTAAAGAGTTTAAAAAAAAAAAAAAAAAAAAAAAGGAAAGAGAACCTTGAACTGTTCAAAATTAGAAGAATGTGTTACGATTCAAGGCAGCATATGAAAAACAACTCACTCTCTTTTCTTCAATACCCCCTTGATGCAAGGAGTTAAGAATTCCCAGCCCAATAAGCAGCACCAGCAAATGCTGGCATTATAAAGGGCTAAAAATAAAAAAAATAAACATCACACTACATTCAGGCAGAGATGGGTCTTCCTGATCCTGTGGCCTTTTAACATGATCACAAGTTAATTAAATCCCTGCAGAGAAAAACGTCACAGTTTGAATCAGAGTTGATTATGTCCAAGACTAACTCTTCTGTGCCAGGAGTAAGATTTTCCTGGTTAAAAAATTCGTTGCCAACAATAAATGCCTGAAAAAACACCAGTACTG